TAAGTTTTAACTTGCAGACTGTTGTATTTCACAAAAATTGTAACCAACAAAATTAGTTATACAAAATAAATTATTACTACATATTTTTTTTTTAATTCTGAAACTAATTTTGTATCATTTATTATTTGTATAGTGTTTGCGTCAACGTAACTGATCCTCGCAAACAAAAAATTATGTTTTGCAATCTTTTTTGGTCTCATGCTTTTCAAAACTGTATTAAAATATTTAAAAAATAATTTACCATGAGCTAACAACTAGGAAACAGGGTAAAAATAGAGTCCAGGTCTTACTGACACTGGAAAAGCAATTTAATTCCAATTTTAAATAATTAATTCCTATTAGGTGCTTAAAACACGGGGACGTTTATCATAAAAATCCAAAATAAGAATAAAAACTTAAAGTGTAATTAGGCTTTTAAAATCATCAACCTTTAAAAAAAATATCGTAAATTTCGATTTGTCAAGTTTAGGTTTATCTTTGTTTCCCACCATAGCATAAAACTTATTTAAGTATACTAAATTCTATTGAATTATACTAGAATTATAAATAATTTAAATTAGAAAAAAATTTAGAATTATAAATAGAAAGCTGTTTAAAAATGCCCATTTGAAGGCAAGTCACTTTAGAATTGTATTGTTTATTCGTTTTATGTAAAAAATTTCCATCCATATTTTTATTAAGACCCCCTCCTTCTCCGTTCTGTTTAATAAATCTATACTAAAACTCCTACACCTCCCCACCCACCCCTTCCTTGTATTAATCACCCGAGAGTAATAACAAAAGCCATTTTCTGAGAAACGCCGTTTATTAATGTTTAATGAAATGCAAATCAGCAGGCTGTCTACAACTAGGTCAGTTTGAAACGTTTTTAGATTGAAACCACTCTTTTAAACAAATTTTATTACTTCTAATAAAAGTAAGACTTAATTTACTATTAGACTTGATAAAAAAAATATTTTACAAAAAGATCAACAGCCAGTATTTAAGCCCTAAAATTTGAAAATCGATCTACTTCAAATCACAAAAAGAGGAGATTCTCGGCTGATCAATTAATATATTTGTCATTTTCCCGATAAACCGAAATGTTTTTACAGACGATGATTTGGCTTCAGCATTTTCAACTGATATTCCTCTGCAGTTCCTCAATGAAAAAGTGACGTTAGAAGATGTTCCTGGGCAAACTCACCACATCAGATTCTAGAGATTACTCAAAATGAGGCTTATTGAGCTTCAAGTCTCAAAACTTTTATTGCTTATTGAGCTTCAAGTCTCAAAACTTTTATTGCTTATTGAGCTTCAAGTCTCAAAACTTTTATTGCTTATTGAGCTTCAAGTCTCAAAACTTTTAAAGCCAGTTGTTAATCAAGTTCTGACACAAAGTCTAAACTTTTCAGAGCTAGTTGTTCCACCAACAGTTTCAAATAAAAACAAATATTTTCCCTTGATAGAAGTTTCTTCTATTCCAAAGGTTATTTTAGGTTATTTAAAGGTTATCCGCGAAAAAAAATCATCAGCACAAGCCCAGCGGGCATTTTGACGTCCTAAGGACGTCCGTAAGACGTCTTAAGTCTCGTCCGTAAGACATCCTTAGTTGGTCTCAAATGAAAGGCTTGAGGACGTCTATTCCAGACGTCCTAAAGACGTCTTTTCAAGACGTCCTAGAGACGTTTTTTGCAGACGTTCTAGAGACGTCTCTGGCTGGTTTCATATGAAAGACTTAAGGACGTCTTTTTCAGACGTCCTAGAGACGTTTGAATTTTACCAAGACATTCTTTTAAAAGTTATATAAAAATGCAATGATTTACAACACACACTTTAGATTTGCCTTAATCTAGGCAAGGGAAGTTATAAAAAGAAATCAATGTAAATAAAGTGTAATTTGATATATTTAAAATAAATTAATAACTTTACAAAAAATAAGAATAATTTTTCAAACAAAGTTACATTTTTCAAATTAAAAACAAATAGGTACTGTAGAATATAATCGATAGTGCATTATAAATAAAAGAAAATTGCTTAAAAATGGAAAAAAAAATACAAAATACAACAGTTAATTAAGCCAACATTGATCGAAATCCATATAAGTCGATGTTTTCTTTATTCGGTCAGAAGAATGCCTAATTACTCTCCCAATAAGTTGGATAGCATCCATTTTGGTTAAGTTATTATTTGACTTTAAAGCAGCTTCTATTAAAAACAACAAAACATGTTTCAATAAGATCATAAAATAAAATATATATGTCATACATACACTTGAATACATGTCATGTTATAGAGCCAAAAAAATAATTTTTTTTTTTTTAATTAAAACATCATTTTTAATTTTTAATTAATCAAACACATTAATAAGCTAATAAGAATACCAGTGACAGAGTTACATAGACTTGTCAACTCTTTAAACTTTTTTTTCTTCTTTAAACAATTCATGCTGTATTCTGACAAAATAGTGTCTGTTGGCAGTCTACATATATAAAAAAGAAGATAAATGCTCTACTGTCAA